AGTCTTTGTTGGCATAGTTACATTCCAAAGACAATGACTCCTTACTGACACTGTGCTTTTAGTCAAATTTTTAAAAATTTTCTTCGGTATGATAGGAGGACTATACTCAAAGATAAACAGCATTAGAATGGCATCCTACAGAATGAGCAGATATTCTCGCTTAGCCAACCTGAACTTAGCAAACTTTATTAGCTGCAAAATATATAGCAGCCAGGCCATTACTGAATCTGTGAATTTTATCTGTTTTTGTCCACAAATGTGGAAAGTAAATGCAACGTTTGAATATTTTTGAGAAATTTTGTTTCGTTTTACACTGCTAAAAGGGGGCACCAAGTGCTGTAAATTACTGCGTGTCATGTCAAAGCGTAGATTGGTCAGTGTGTTATCACGGAATCATTCTATAAACCGTTCAGATGATAGGTAATGATAATTACTAATTCACACATCTCTTCATACATTTAAAAAATTTCGACCTCAAAGCAGAACAAAGGATCTTGAGGCTATTGTACGTACCGGTTTTTCAGGGAAGCGCTATGGTAATATCCCCTATTCTTTGAAAAAAAAATGACTGTTAATGGATAATAACTGAGAATGATTTTAGTACTGATAAGTTAGTAACAATAAGAAATGAAAATACACTTGTTTAATCAAAACCATTAACAAATACGTCGGGAATAAATCCCTTTAGAGCCTGTATATTGTATTGTACCTCTAAACGGTGTAACGTATTTACTGTTGGAATGGTGTCACTTAGTATTCTGCAGTTAAATGCTGATTCAGAACCCTTGGGTCGCATTCGTGCGAGTAACAGTTCAATTTTTTGCATCAGTCAGTCGGTTTCGATGACTTTTAAGGGTTGCAAAGGCAGCAGTCTCCAACATTCCCAATCCTGTGCCGGCGCTGTAGCTTTAACAGAAGATAGCCCAATTTTGGTGCAGAGTCCTGTCATACACTTGCCCGACGTCATGTTTGGCCGTTCTAGGAGGCCACTCAGTTAAGCAGGTAGTAGTTGTTTCGTCTTCCTTTCTAAAAGCATTCGAACGACATAGCCCAACCCGGCTGTTATTTCTTATTTTATCAACGCAGCGGCTCAAGGCTCTATCGCATCTTTGTACTCCGGATCATTTCCAGGCACATCAGTCCAGCGATACATCTCAAAAAGCCATTTCAACCGCTTGTACCCCAGCTGAAAATTCTCAGCTAGGGTCCACGACTCGTGTCCGGAGATGAGTATCTGGATGAAGATCGATTTAAACACAACGAGCTTTCTCTTCATACTCAGGTCTGACATAATCACGTAGATTGAGACAAGTTCACGCGGATACCGCTGGCCGTTCGAAGTCGCCAGACGATTTCCTCTTCCCATTTTCTATCACCAATAAGCACAACTAGAGCTTCTGACCATGTTCCACTAAGTAGTCTAAACTTCTCCATCTGTTTCAATGCTTATTCGTTTATTTTCAAAGTGTAATTGACAGGATAAAGAGAAAGTACTAGGCTTTTGGTTTAGATGCGTACACCAGATATGTCCGCGATATTGCACTCAGCTGCCGGTCTCTTCAGAAAATGCTGGAGATCGGTTTCGAAAGATGTCAACGAAACAAGGTCGCCTGCAAACAGCAACTCTCTCGTTACGACATTTCCTAAGCTCATCGATCTCTCTACGCCTGACTGTTCCATCCATTTAAAACAGTAACAGGAGAGGGGACATAATGCAGCTTTGCGGAGGCCAGTGCCATCGATTTTACGCCATTTATTGTAACTCGGCATCTGATATCAACAGACAGTGACGGGTCGTAGCATGTGGCAATCGATTCTATGCGTTTGAACGCACACCAGAGTTTGTTGCGCGGGATCATATAATTAGCTTTCTAGAGGTCAACAAAGCAAATGCAAACTGGATGAGCATTCTGCCAGGATTTCTCAATAGTTTTGCATTAGACCAAGATCCAGTCACAGGTTGGAGCTGCTAAAATGAAGTTCTACTGCTCTTTTTGGATCTTCGAGTGAACCATTCCGCGACACCTCATTTCCAGTACCTTTGCTTGTGCGAGTGATTGTGATTTAGGCTTCGTAGCAGGAGTTGTTCTGCGTATATTAAATTTATGCGAGAAATTTATGCTTTAAATTTATGCTTTTACCGCTTCAGCGAGAAAAGCGTCGCTTAGCTCCTTGAGGGGATGCTTTTAATGTGCTGTTTTAGTCTCTAAAACGAAAGAACTTTTAACTGGGTTCAAATAAGCACAATTAATGTTTCAGCAGCATTACACTTCTCTTAGTGATTCTCTAAAACCGGTGGATGCGCCTTTTTGCACAATACGTTCGTTACCCTTGTGATTTGCATTTGAAAATTTCTTACTTTTGAATTACATGCGCCTAAAATCAGCATTTTGGTATCGCTGAACAATCTTTCAGCATTTCTCGTAGATTTGCAGTTTGCTGACCAATACTCAAGTGCTGCTTACTAGGTTGATGAATGTGGCGAAACAAATGAAAGCTGTGCTTGCATTAGACGAAGGAAATTGAATGTTCAAACGGAGTTGTAACATAGCGTCATAGTAAAAATCTATCCCTGTGATGTGCAGATGAAAATCTAAATCACAACCAAGTCGTAAAGAACATATGAAAGCATTAAACTTTTAATAACTACGACAGGCTTCATATCTTGAAAGGTCAAAAATTAAGAGAAGCTCACCGCCAATCAGCTATTTCAGCATTAGTCACGCCAAAAGCGACTTAAATTATCACCTTACTTGCAGTTAATAAGACGTATCAGTTGTAAGGAACAATTTTTAGATCTATTTGAATTTGATTGTCCTGATATTTGCCTCAAACTTTGAAGCTGAAATGCCGAGGAAACAGCTATACCACGCCACTCATGTGAGTAAATACGATAATTCAATTCATAGCAAAACGCGACAAAAAAAATTTTCATCCTAGGCAGAATTTCAGGAACTAGATGAGGTGTTCGCTTTTCTGGACATAACAGTAGAAGAAACTGGCTAAATTGTTGTTTTCCACGTTCGATTGCACGATCAGTTTCGATTTCAGAGCGAGATGCAAAATTTATTAAAACTGCTAATTACCTTGGGCATGCAGACCAGTACTCAGCACTTTAGTGCAACCAGCCAAGAGTTAGTTAGTAAATCGCCGTGCCTCTGAATAATAGATCAGCATGGCATGATCAACGAAGAGCGGGTATGACATAATACCTGAAGCTTGCAATTCGGTCAGATTCACACGGTGAGTAATAATCAAGGTGCAAAACGCAATCCATAAATTTGCAGGGAATAGTAATAAAAAATATCGTAGTCAAAATACTGCAAGAGAAACTTCTATTAGGGCGACACGTCAAATGAAAGAAACGAAAAGGGCAAGATATGCACAGAGGAAAAGCGAAGGAAACTTGGAATGGAACGCAAGAAATCTGGCATTACTCAGAACTAAACTCTTTAGAGCGTGATTCTAGCGAAGCAGTCTTTGAAAATACTCCATCATTGGAAGCCGGCGGAAAGGACCGATTGTAGCATTGTAACGACCCGGTCTTATGTACAGTTCATTAATCTAATTTTTCACCGCATTCCTCAGTGACAACTGCGTCATCGTTCGCACCTGCAGCAGCCATGTCCTTCGCAAATATTCCAAAAACTCGACAATCTATTGCTTTCATCAGAGCCTTACTCCTGCAATTAATTTCAGTCCATTTCCTTGAAGTTACTTCAGAACTGTTAACTATGAGCACCCAAAGAGCTTGTGCATCTACCGTTACTTACTTCGGTATTGTACTCCATGAAAGAGGGCCAGGAATTTCCCAATCGACCAGCCAAAGACACCGAGAAGGCCAGGAATGACTTGGAGCAAGACCTCAATGAAATGGGAAATAAATTCATATTTTCCACTGCCGAAATTAACACGCTGGCACGTTCTTCACCGTTTGGGGCACTGTCTTACTCTGCTACTAAAATAGAGAAGCGGTCATTGAAACTGACTCTTTTATGCGTTGCTGATGGAGTAGTTTGTTCATTGCCTGACCTTAAGCTGCAGAGATTGAACATGCTGCGTCCCTTTACTACGTCTTAAGTTTTTGAACTAAACAACAGATGACTAAGATAAATTCATTCAAAATACAGGCGGCGTTCACGTGCTGACACAGGTCATGGGTTTCAGCTACAACTGCAAACAATAAAGAAGTTAAAGAAGTACGGTAATACGATAGCCACGACATAACTAACATCGCCTTTGCTCTTTGTCTACGTAACGTTCGACGAGAGGGCAGGATATAAACGACTTCGCCTCTGTTGCTTAACTTCGGCCTTGTCAAATTCAAGAGCGCCTCACATTGCTAAATATTCGCAACAATCCACCTGTAGTCTTTATTCTTAACCTTGACAACCGAAATCATAATCTAAAAACCGACTGATGACCGCTTGAACAGAAGCTACCGCGCGAAACACCTCTATTCAAAATCAAACATGCCATGCGCGTATGTGTTCGGTCAAGCAAGTTTTATTTTTACCGTTCCATTACTAAGTGTTTGCTCTTTCACATAATGGCTGATTAAAAATTGATAGAAAAGTACGAAAAATCGTAAGATCCATTTCAACGCAGCCAAAAGGCAAATTGGTAATGTCGTCGTCGAATTACTGAGCGAATTATTAATTAGTCAATATTTAAGTACGAAACAGCAATTTGGTAATGACTTTCTCTAATTCAACAAGATGGTAAAACGAAATACCAGCACCAGCCAAAAGAAATAAATTTCGAGCGAAACCAGTGGGCTAAGAAAAGCATACTGTACAAACGCCGTGCATCGATATCATAAAAGCCATTCCCACACACTACAATAAATAATTCTACACAAGACAGAAGATTTGTACAAAAGGAAGGAATGAATTCCACAAAACAAAACGTGTCATGGCTAGCATAAGGAAAATCCACTATTGTTCCGAGAAGCTCAAATCTTCGCCAGAGGAATTATTCCACGAACAAGATTGGCACGATTAGACGGGTTTCGTAAAATTAACGGGGAATACACCTTTTTCTTCCGTTCCTTCTTTAATACCCATGAGCCAGCCTTCATCCTGAACAAACAACGTTGTAATGCCATCACTGCAAGTTACAGGGGGCAGATGGAATTTCATATTTACCTGATCTTCAGGATCATCATAAGGCACAACGAGGATGATTTCTCCTGCTTCGAAACTTAACTCGTCGGTGTCCTCGGCTGAATACCGATGCGTGGCACGAACCTTGAACAGGACGTTGGGCAGAGCCGCGGTTTTGTTAACGGTCGCCGTCTTGTCCGCCGCCGCGACGACTGCTTGACTGGTGGCAGTCACTGCCGGTGCTGCAGCTACGGCTACGGAGTTCTCCGTGTGATCATCGGTGCCTTCACTGAACGGATTTTTGTCGTCGGCCACTCCATCTTTCGACCCCTTAAAACAATAGTCATACGGAGTTTTGCAAAAACATGAAGAAAGCCATTCAAAGTACCAACATTAATTAATGCACGTGTCACAAAGAGATTCTCAAAGTGAGAATGACAGTCTAAGTACTGTCTACTTCCCAAATTTTGTAGTCCCACACTCATGCCGTTTATGCATTCATAACATAGCGCTTCTTCGAGACAACAGCAACTATAATTACTCTAATTTTAAAAATTTTAAGATGAGCATAATTTTTTCCCTAGAATTAATGTTTCACTAATCCACAACGATGTTACAAAAGTTAGTACAGTTGATAAATAATGGATTTATCTGACTTTAGATGGCTCGCAGACAATTTTTGCGCTTCTGGAAATGCAGTGAATAGCTGGCATCTGGTCATCTACCCTAGGTGTTTTCTGAAATCTCATTTTTGGCATCATGATTATATATTTATATCACAATATGAATCCAGGAGGTGCCAATGAAAGCGATCAGAGTCAAATATCCAATCCCCAAACAATGGAATCATAATCAAATAAATCTTTAACAAGTGTGTATAGTTAACTGTACCGTCCTCTGAGTCAGACAACATTGAATCATATCAAATTCAGATTACAGTAAAAAAGGTTTGTTGACAACACAGGTCATTTCGTGAAAGTAACATTAAGAGAATTCTGAGGAATGCTCACCGCGACAGCGGCGGCTACCGAAACCTCCTTTTCGTTCGAGGTCGGCGGCTTGGCCGAAAGTGCCGGATACAGGGTTGGTTCTTTGACCCGGTCAGCGAGACCCTCAGTGACGGCCTTCGACGCAAAACCGTTATTCTCCATGGCAGAACTTCGACTACCGTCCGCAACCGGCGGCATTTTGCTACCACGACTCTCTAGCGACAGGTCCTTGATCTTCGGGGTCACCTGGCTACGCATTTCTGTCAACAGCTAAAACAAAGCAAATGCTGATAACTGAACTATTTTAAATCAACGGCAAGACAGTTAACAACTTTCAAAAAAATTTGGAACCGATGTGATATTTTTCACTACACAAGACACGCTGTCTGTGATTCATTCTTTCAGAAAACGGATTTCCGTTTAGACGTTATCACAGAGCAATGTCCTATGTTTTTTAAGGAAATGCCCACAACCAGAGGTCACCGAAATGCGCAGACTCGGCCTTTCTCGCTGTGGAATTACCTTCTTCCTCAGAGGATGAAAAGCATGAACGAACAGAGAACGTACTCCAATCTTACAACTGTGAATCCAGCCTTCCATTGACTGAGCTACTACAATTACAAAATTGCCCTTAAATGTCACACAGCAGAACTGAAAGAGTGGTACATTAGCGCTTGCGCTGCTCGTATGACAGAGCAAATAAGAAAAGAAACAAAAGTTATCAAGCGTAAACAAATTCACCGAAAGCACTTCTGCAAGATTCCAATTGGCTGAGTACTTCTCAGAGTTCCTGAATAAGCCTGCTCTTACCGTAAATCTCTAAATAGTAGTGGAAATTGGCAAAGTTCGAGATGTTGGCTGCGCCCGATCATCCACGGAAGGCATCTGATAGGTCATACGTCTCTGCTCGAAGTCATGTGAACACGAATGGATTAAAACAGAAATCCTGAAGTACAGAGGGACAGAAGTATAAACCTTCTTCGATGGACCTACGTGGACTTCTGAATGCATTCGACGAAAGTCGGCGATTCCCGAAGACTGGAAAAAAGGAGTGATAATCAAGGAATCACCCTCGCGCCGGTGAGACAGCAGATCTTTTGGGAATCATTCTAAGACGAGTTAGGAAATTCACTGATCCCCTTGTGAACTAACGAAACAGGCTTCTAAAGCGGGCACTCATGCACAAACAACATGTCGGTGCTGAATCGAACCACCGAGAAGTGCCGGAGATGCTCTCATGACATGCGCCGTATCTGTGTATTGAACAGCCTTCGATTCAGTTCTTCGCCAGACAACTTAAGGAATCGTTCGACGCTGTGGGATTACACAAGCAATGGCAAACCTGATAAAACGTCCGTATGATGAAGACTAAATGCGCCGTTCAAAATGAAGGACCCCTATCAGACAAATTCAACATTACCAGTGGAGTTCATGAAGGAGCGCTCCCTACTATTTTATTCAGCATCATGGCGGAAAACGTTATGCATAAGTGCTTCGACTCAAATAACGACGAGGAACTGACCGTTAGTGAGTGACACGCCTCGAGGCACCTGGAAGTATTCCTAACGGTCCGTGAGTATGTCGATCACGCCATGCTGCTGAGGGACTTCGCGAGTGGCGTAAAGCGTGTGTAACGCCGCTATGAGAGTGATACTAGAAATGAACACCAAAAAGGCGAAGATTATTACAGTGCCCGCCGTTACCGTTAATTCAAGGATATTACGGAATGGTATAAACTGTACTGGCTAACGACGGCGATACTGATCTTGAAATGAATCAGTGCACCGAACAAGCTTTAGCGAATAATGGCACGCCTTACGACATACTGAAGGATCGAACTATCAGAATCAGAACGGATAAAACTATAAATCTGAAAGCAGCTGCATTCACAGTGCTCACGTTAAGTCCCAAAATATCTGCCATCCCAAAGCCTCAAGAAACTCATTTAAACAGCTTCCAACAACAGTATCCTGCAGAACATTTTCGAAGTGTGATGGTACCACCGATTTACGAACGAGCAGATGCTGACGATCACAGAAAAAAAACTGTCAGATAAACTCTGAGAACGGTGCCTGGCTTTGTTGGATTAAACGGTCCAGAAAGAGAATGTAAATATTCAAAATTTTCTCCTTGAGAACAGCGTACTAGACGTGGGAGGACAATAAGAAATGTAGAAAACCCTTCGTTTAGGCAGTACCGCTTATGGAGAAGAATATGAACATTGCTGCAGCGGTAAATATAGCTTGATATTAATGAAAAGTACTGTTTATAAAGGTCGAACAACATAAATCTGGGTTACCCTGCTCAGTTAACCTCAGGTGAAGATGACAAAACAACAGCATCGTCAGTTGTACAGGAAAGCCAATTGTGTGAAATAAGCAACCAATTTAGAGCTATCGAACGCTCACATTGCGGCCTTCACAAAACAACAGCTGCAGTTAGAGAGAGTAAAAACAACAAAGTTAACGGTATACCCTTGTGAAAAAGTTTCAGAGAAAAGTGAGTATGTGATTTGTAGCTGCAACAAAATATGAACCAGAACAATCAGAAAACACCAGTCAGGAATGCGTAAGCGTATCTAGCCGTTTCCATCGTGGAACCTGATGTGCATGGCTAAAACTAGCATTACAGCGCAGTTTGACTATTATTTACATAATTAAAAAAACTGTTATAATTCTAAAAGTTGTTTGGTCCACTGTCGCCAAACAAGCAGCAAACAAGAACGATCCGCTCTCAGAGTTTCACTGGACCACTGCTCAAAACTAAAATGATAAAACAGGACAGGCCGTATCCTGTGTAAAAGCTAGTATTGACCGAGAAGACGACATGTATGTGTTTCATGTTAATATCATTTTATTATTTATCGATCAGAATGTGCATGCAATAAAGTCACAGTTGAGAGTCATACATTCATACACAACGACAAAGAACGGACATATATTACCTTTGCAGATTCAGTATGGAAATTGCCCTCAATTCCAAGCAGGGTTTGCAGATGATTTACGCAGAACGAGTACCTACTGAAAAGCCATGCTGTATAAATTATAGCTGACGCCTGGCAAGCCTACCCATCATAAAGCGACGGAAGTTTTTCCCCCAGTTCTTGATTGATATCGTCATACAACTTTTTCGTTTCTGTGAGCTCTTCTTTCGCCTAAAAAAAGTTAGAAAATCAGTAACATACTTTATGTCATTAATTCAATGGCAACTCTCGCCACTTTCCATGTTTACATGGCGACGTCGCACAGTCCTCTTGCTTCTAGTAGCCTACATGCCCGTTCAAGTACGCCATGACTAAGTGGTATTCTAACATTTGCTGTGCATAGACGTAAAACAGCACAACGAAGATTTCAAAAACGAAATTAAGGAAAATATTTCTGGAGACCTGCAGGTACTCAGCTCATGCAGATTCACTGGTATCAACAGTACCTTTAGAGCGATAGGTATTATCACTGCTGTGCCAGCAATTTTCCAAATGAAATTTTAATGGCAATACTGTGCCACCAACTGATTTCCGAAACTGGAAACATGGGACAGAAAGTTTTAGGGTCGACACCTGCCCTCAATCTAATCAGAAAAGGTTACGAAATGTTCTCCGTACACAGAAGACGAAAATTCATGGGCCAGATGGACGGCAGTATTGGATGATGCTAGTGATGGACAGGAAAACGGAAATATTCCTATGAAACCGGAAGATCGTAAAACGTGATTAAAGCTGTAATTCACCACATATCGTAAATCTGCTGGTGTGCGTAGGTTTATACGTAATCACCACATAAGCTCGATCATTGCAAAGCCATCATGCAATAAAAACAGCTGGCGACTAAGTCCATTATGACCTAGTACGCAGGCAATTAATTATCTTTAAATGAAGGAAATCTTTCAGTAGATTAGAAGTCAACCTCTCATAGAGGAAATGAAAGCAGAAGGACCATTGCCATGAGGGTTCTGTCTACGCGAAGAACTCTAAGAAATCGTCAGCAATGTATACCCCAACCCCAGGCCGCATGAACTCGCTAAATAAAGAAATCAGCTGAAGAAGGAAGGTGGCATGGGTCAGCTTTAATCGTATTAAACTATCATTATTCGACAGCAAGCTGCGCATGCGGGGGAAAAAGAGCTGTTCGGTTCAACCGCCCTACCTGTACCTGTCACGATCTACGGCGAGAGATGTTGGTCTGCTACTAAAGCCGATGAGAACAAACTAGCTGTCAGGCAAAGAACGATGGAGCAAAATGTACAAGATGTCTTTCAGGGGTCACGTTTCGATGGCATAAATTGATGCAATTTATTAACAGATGTGATATCTGACTTTTAGGCCATGTGGCTTCCCTGAGAAACAATGTGGCGACCTCAAGAACAACTAACTGCGTTCCGCCAAACCACGAACGCCGAATTGGACGCTTACGAACACGTTGGGATGATCCGATGGTCAAACTATTTGGTCAGAGA